GGCACATTAATCGATAAAAGAAAGGTTAGTTGCAGCCCTAGTTTAATGGTCGCCTGTGTTTACCCGTCTGCGCCTCCACGCTGACCGTCTGTGTTTTGCAGGAAACTCCCTTGTTCTGCACCAGAGGTTTACACAGCAGAGCTTTGTTCTTCAGTAACTTTGGAGCCGAAGCGGCAGGAGGAGGAGGAGCAGCGGGCTGGGCTTTGGGCGAGTCCGTCTGGACGCTGATCTACACGAAACAGAAACGCCACAACTCAAAACTGCTCCAGAAACTAAAACAACAAACTTCATTTTAAGCTTTGTAGCCGTTTCCGTTTCTGCTGTTTGGGTTTGTTGGCTTACGTTTCCAGAAGTCCTTGACTTTAACCTGGAGCCTGTTGGAGACAAAATAAAAACATTTAATGAAAGAAGAAAAATAAAGACTGGCGAATCTTTCTCTGTGCTTCTGTACTTGGCTGGGCTGTTTTATCTGCCGATTTGGATTTTCCAGCTGACTGGTCAGCGAGGGACATGACGCTGGCGATGACGGGGGTGGCCTCACCTGTAGCTACAGGAGACAAGAAGCACAGTCAGTCAGAACCGAGTCAAGTAGTTAAAAGTCCTTCCAGCTCCAGTTTTCTTCTCCTCGTGGTCAAAGATTAAGACCTTATTTAATTCTCATTTTAAAAGTTAGTCGGTCCTTTCTGCACATTTACCTCTAACCCTTAAAACTAGATGACATAAACCCCATTTACACGACCCTCTGAAACCGAGCTTGGCTCCTTCCAACTGTTTACACACCACGCTAGCACGGCTTCTCGCCTCCTAGTGGCGATCTACGGTACTACTGCTCCTTAAAGGTAAACAAGCAAACCGACATGGCGTCACACATAATATTCTGGAAGTTTGTGGAGAGTCAGGCGAAGAAGGCAGCCTTCAGTGAATTTACTTGACAGAGTCGGCTTTTGGGAAGTGGAAACAACAAACGTTAGTCTAATCAGGGCTTCCAGACGCAGGAAACAACAACATATGTTGAGGTTCATCACACTGCTGAGCAGAATCACCACTAGGAACGGTAGGGAGGCTAGGATTTTTATGAATGTCTGAAATATTATGATTTCGGAGGCTGACTTTAAGGAGATGACGCGGTCTGCTCATGCTAGGGTGGCCAGATGTCCGGCTTTAGGGCGGACAGTCCGGATTTTTGTTATCCGGCTCTTTGTTATACGAGAGCCGAACCAGAACTGATCCAGAACGGTCTGGTTCAGTTCTGCGTACCATTTACACTCAATAGTTATCTCTGTTACCGTGCTCGGACCGATTTGGGCACGGTTTAAAAAGGGAGGTGTAAATGGGTCTATAAAGACGTTAATTGTCATGTAATGAAAGCTCTCTTGTCTCTGCAGGTTTTCCTTCCTTTGAGCTGCTGCTGCTCTTTAATCCTCCATCTGATGTTTGCCAGAGGAATCAAACGTGTATCAATGTAAGGTGATTCCTGAGGTACATGGACGCCCAGAAGGCATCATGAAATTAATAAATGCATCATTAAAATAGTGACAATTCATTATACAATCAGAAAATATAGCATTAAATTATAGAATCCATCAATTAATATACATTTTAAATGATAAAAATCAAATAATTCCATGTCCTTCTAGGGAAAATCAATTCATTTAAAAACCGATATAATAACTTATTTTATATTTTGGGGGTTGGGAGTCTCTGGGGTCACAGGTTGAAATGTTTGGGAAGAGCTGATCTTCGAGAAAACAAAGACAGGATCAGCATCTTCAAGCCGTCTCTTTAGGAAAATAGGGGGGGTTCAAAATGTGACAGAGAATTCAAAATCATAGGAATCGATAAACGCTGACGGTGAAGCTTCTTTCATCCCAGTAAACAGTTTTCTCTGTGATTCGCAGCGATTTTAAAGAACCGATCGTTGGTATTTCCAACCAGCAGGTTGATCAGCATCGGTTCATATTCAGAGCAAATGTTTAAGCTTTTCTAAACATGAATTTAAAACTGTAACACAGGTGGGCTGAATGGGATTTTGTTTTCTTTTTTTTGTAGGGAATGTTTTTACTATATTTGATTCTATATCTATCTTTGTTGGATAATTATGTATTTTTGGTGTTTACAAACTGTTTGTTTAAAAGGAAAACTCAATAAAAAGACAGTGATAAAAAAAAAACTAACACAGAATTAAATAGTTATTCAATAAGTGAAATAATGATTCACTATGTGCTAAAAAACAAACAAAAAACACACAAAACTATTCAGAATATTTTTAATATTTCATTGTAAAATATTTCAGATTTTTTTAACTATCACTGGATCAAAGATGTTTCCAAACGTTTCAGCTTGTGACCAACGGGTGATGCAGACTGAAGACGCCCTTAAAATGCAGTCATAAAGACATTTATTAATAAATATAGATGGTTTAGTTATGCAATTTAATGACATTTCATATTTTCATAATGGTAAATGCAATTTTTAATATTTACTGGGGAATTTAATTCTTAATTTGTGCATTTTTTTTATCCAATAGTACACATGCATTATGTGAATAACTGTTACATTTAATTACTTCATGGCTTAATGCTGCAGTTTGGCCCTCTATATAGCCCACCCCCCCCCAACCTGCTCAACTTGGTTTGTCCCGACCCACAGGGGGGCCTCGTCCCCATGTTTGGCACCTCAAAATTATGAAAAAAATAAATAAAATGAAAATACAAATCCAACCAACCACAAACATCAAATTTAGTCCCGCCCACTAATCCTGATTTGCCAGGTGGACTAGTGCATCTGAGATCGTGAGGTAATTAAAATTAAAAATATCCAAATATTCTTCTATTATTGAAGACATGTAATGATTTTCTTTTCATTTTTTATCAGATAAGCCAAAATATGAAGGATAATTTCCATAATTTTAGAGGTTCTAGTCTTTTATAACAGAAAAATTTAAAACAATTCGTTCCTTTATATTCTATTAATTGTTGATTTTATGTATACACATGCATATTTTTATCCTGTGCGGGCAGTGCTTTTATTTTATTTTATTTACTTTTATTTATTTTATATATTTGACCTTTTTTGTGCAGCACTTTGGAAACCTTGTGTTTATTGAAATCGTGCTATATAAATAAAGTGGATTGGATTATTTAATATGTTTTTAGCGCGTCTTTTTTCTTCATATAAAAATGAATGATTGTTTAAAAAAAAATAGTCAAAACATTGATGAAAACCAGAAATTTTGTATCTAGCATCTAAATTTTGTTTTTAGCATACAAAAAGATAAAAGGTTGTGTTCAGGAGATGTGGAATAACAGAAACTGATTCGGACCTTTCGGGACCTCCCCCTGAGTGGCCGCCTTATCGCAGCAGAACCTCAGCAGACAGCTGATGCCACAGAAATGTTTGACCTCTCCCAGCAAAGGAAGACTCTGCTTCAGCTTCCCTTTACGCCCGCAGCTGTCGCACTTTGCTACCTGAGGAAGAGGAGAGATGAAGCTTCATCGTCGCTGCGAAGCAGAGAACAGATTGGAAGCGAGTGGAGAACCGCTGGCTTACATGACAGAACAGCATGGTGTATTTGGACCTGCACTCCTCGGAGCAGAACTCCTCGATGGAGCCTCCGTACTGCGCCGTCACCAGCTTCTTGGAGGCACAGTGGCAGTAAACGCAGGAGTTGCAGTGTTTCCCCCAGTTTTTACTCAGCTCGTGTCTGAAGAGGAGCTTACAGCCTGGAAAGGAGAACAAACAGCCGGTCAGATTCAGGACTTTCTAGGATATTTACTGGATTCACACACGTTTCATTTCAAAATAAATGTAACTAATTGTTTTAAACTTTGTTGGTATTTGACCAGTGAGTAACCAGGTCTCATTTGTCATCATTTTATTTCCAAACTGGGAGCAGAACTGCTTTAAACACCAGAGACTGGAGCATCTTAGTCCACATATTCTTTATAAAACATTCTGTAATTTGTGTTTCCTATATTTCATGAGTGAGAATGAATGAATGAAATATTTGTGTTGGAATGATTGTGTATAAGATACTTTATGTTTGTTCTTATGATGTATAATGTGTGACATATTACTGTTCCAGAGAGGTGTTGCACAAGCAGTAGGGGTCAACTCTCAGGAAGTTTTGTTTAAGTTTAACGAAACCAGGAGGTTCTCGGACCATTTGACCGCAAGACATTTAAATGCAAATTGACCTGTTCACTGAGGCTGCAAATTGAATTGTATTTGTTGTTTCCTATTCCTTTAGCGCAACCTCAGCTTGTGTAACTAGGTAACCCCCCTCTAACTTTAATAAATAGCGAGAAGAAAGCTGAAGACCGGCAGAGTGGGGTGGAGATTTGTAAACTCTGCAGTCTCTTCCTAGCCTCGTGAGACCATC